AGAAGGGATCAGGAAAAGAACAAAACCAAAAGATCCCAACTTCTACATCTAATTTCATCGTCAAGCCAAATAACAAAAACCAACAGAGATAACCTATAATGATGATTATACTGCTGCAATTCACCTACACATAGACTAAGGATCTTAAATGAAGGCTTGCACTAACATGTCTCACTCCTGCAACACATAATTACAGAAAACCTTTTCATCAAACATAGCAGAGTGATGAAATACTCTTGAATTTTCAACTTACCAGAACCGAACTCTTCCTCTTTTCTTCTCGGAGTACTGGACTCTTCATTAACTGACCTGCTGCTCCTCTGCCTTGTCCCACGGAACACGTAGGAATGATCAGACTCTAAAAAAAAATCAAACAGAAATCACTGGGGTTTTGTGCAGGGAACTCATGTGCAGCACTGGAACTGCTCTGAATTTCAAAAATCTAACAGGAGTAAGGAATTGTGTTTATGATGGCATCAAATTTTACAACACATTACATACATGAGCAACTTCAGAAAGCTCCTGTTCCTACCTGTGAAGGAACAATTTGTTCCTTCAAAAGGGCCTGTGCCAAGCACAAGAGAGCAAAAGACAAAGCTGCTCCTGTACTTCGTAAGGAAAACAATATTGTCTTCTGAAACAGCACTGGACATTGCATGAGTGTAAAACAGCCATGCAACAGCAAAAGGAATCACAGAATAAATTGTGCAGGTAGGGACTGCCTTTCTTATCTAGTTGGAAATAATGTCAGTCCACTAGTAGATCTAAAAAGACAGTACCAAAGTTTTGTCTTGAAAAGCTCAAATGTTCTAAAACCACATTTAAACCAGTTTAAAACTAATGTCTGCCAGTCAAACACATCAAACAGGTCAACTCTGCCTAAACACACACAAGTGGACAGACAGGAGGACAGCAAACCCAGCAATGTGTCAGAGAGCTGCTACTCAGCCTGGCACCTCCCAATCCATCCCTTTCTTCCCTAAGCTAATGAGCTTTTTAAACTGCCCAATTATCAATATTTCCAATCTCAGAGAGAACAAATGGGTAGAGCAGACAAAGGAAACTAATTTCACATGCAGAAAAACATGCACCCATGTCACCAAGGGCACGGTTTACTTAGCAAGAATAATATCACATATTGATGTATCTTGTACCTATACAGCTCTGTTATACTCTGTCAGAGAAAACCTTTTCAGAGCACTCTCACTTTTGTGCTAAAGGCCTTTACATAAGCAGAACTGAATGACTCCTCTCATATAAACGTTTCTGTCGAGGTCATGGTGGAGTTATTTCCATGCTGCATTGTAAAACATTGAAAGTAATGCCAGAAGTGCCCACTTTATCAAAAATGCTCTGCCTACTTTCTAAATTGCTCATTGGGTGATCCTAACATAATTCCACAAGCAAGCTCTGCAAAAGCCAATCTCAGCAGTGCTTTAAAGCAGCTCCAGGACACTCATTCACAAATACAAGAAACACAGAGCACCTCCTACCAACATCCCAGC